ATAATGTTAGAGAATAAGAAAAAACTTTATGAAATATAAATATTGCTTTGAGATGTAATTTGCCATACCTACATTCTCAGTCAGGTGCTTGAAAACATGCTTACTGTATTGGGATTCTTGTTTTTCCTTTCTATAGGCGTTGACCATGCCCAGATGACCTATGAGGGTGTTCACTGGCACGCCACCGACCAATGCTTTTGTTGTGCCCAATGTAAGACGTCCTTGCTGGGTTGTCCCTTCTTACCCAAGCAAGGTCGCATCTATTGCTCAAAGGCCTGCAGCCAAGGTGAAGATGTACATGCCTCGGACTCATCAGATTCTGCTTTCCAGTCGGCCCGTTCTCGGGAGTCCCGCCGGAGTGTTCGCATGGGGAAGAGCAGTAGGCCTGCTGAAGAGTGGAGACAGTCACAGCTATTTAACCCTCCTGCTACAGTTGCGCCTTATGAGCAAGGTTTTGTGGAGGGACAGGGCAATAGAGATGCTGATGGTGACATTGATATAGTGGGGAGTAAGCTAACCCATCTTGGTCTTGAGGAGGAGAGGTTCTGGAGAGAGCGGGAGGAGCAGGAAGCTGCCGGAGAGGAGGATCCGGAGGAGTGGGCTCAGCATGACGACTATATGACTCAGCTTCTGCTTAAGTTTGGTGACCGTGGTATGCTGCACCAACTCCAACCTCAATCCCTAAAATCACCAAGCCCCAATAGTGACTCAACAAGGCTAATAGGTGTGTCGGATCCATGGCTGAAGTCTGATTCTACATCTGTGGGCCTTAACCCCTCCTCTCCCACCCCTACCAGTCCCACTCAGAGCCAGACTTCTGATCAATCTCGAGCTAACAGCCTCAGTCCAGGCTTGATGGACAAGAAACATCTACCGGAGATGTACTGGGCCCAGTCACAAGATGGCCTCGGTGACTCTGCTTATGGGAGTCATCCAGGTCCTGCAAGTGCAAGAAAGATCCAAGAGCTGGAACTTGACCAAGATCAGGAGCAGTCTGGAATAGGTAAACAGGCTTTTTGGCCAGACACAAGACAGTGGTATGAAGACTCCCTAGAATGTATCGCTGATGAGTTGAGGAAGGTTGAGAATGGTGTTGGAGACTCCATGGACTCCCTTGCTTTGTCAAACATCACTGGTATGTATGGTCCTTATTTCCTACATTAGGTTTTTCACTATTTTAATGTATAAAAACACATTCCAACAGATATTCCTTGTTTACTCTACTAGGTGCTTCAGTGGATGGAGATGCACCCACAGTCTACAATCTTCATGCAGTTCAGGATTCCTCTCTGACAGAGTGCGAGAACATGAGCAACATGGGAACCTTTAATTCATCCCATATTCACCACAGTGCCAACTCCCTTAGTCTCAACATTGAAAAGAGAGTTGAAGAAGCAGAAAATTCAGTGGCCCTTGGAATGAGGGTGGTCCCTCCTGTAGGCCTTCACTCAATTTCTCCACATTCAGAGGGCCTTCCCACATCCTTTGTTCAGGCTCCAGCTCTAAGGAGGAGCAAGTCGCATTCCAGGCCACCCCAGATGGTCAAGTTCTCAGAGGACACAGTGGACAATGGATACAATGATGGATATGAGGTCACAGTCATGAAACATCCCATGAGTGAGAAGCCACAGAGGAGAGCATGCTGCCCAGATGAGCTTGGCAGAGCAAGAAGCCACTCGACAAGCCAGCATGGCAGAAGCCGGCCCCAACACCACCGACAGGGCCGGCGCCACAGGAGTCGCAAGACCCGTTCGGACAACGCCCTTCACATGGTACCTGTGGAGAGAGCTCAAAGGCCATTTGAACATCAGCAGCAGGATATCGTAAACCCACAATATGGTGCGATGCATCTACAGCACCCTACACACATGCTGCCGCTATCCTACACTCAAACCCGATCTGACTATATGATCCGTAGTTCAAACCAGAAGGACTCACGGTTTGAACATTTCATGGGTCTCCACAGAGACGAGGATGAGTGGTGTTCCACTTGTTCCTCTTCATCATCGGACTCTGAGGAAGAGGGATATTTCCTCGGTCAACCAATACCCCAGCCTCGAGCGGTTGGGCGCTACTACACAGAAGACTACCCGACGAGGGTGACTGCCCTCACGGCCCTCAGCCATGGCTCACAGACTGGTCGAAGAAAAGGCCACAGCTCCAAAAACTGTATAATTTCTTAGCAAACCACCTTAAGGATGTCGGAAAGTGCACTAAACATGCAATATTGTAAAGATGTTAAGCTAGGTTTGTCATATTTTGTAAAGAGGCTATTGTTAAGTTGTTAAGACACATCTTACATGTATGCAAAACTGGCCAAATGCTCAACAGTTAGCCTATAGAATGTGTGTAACGAGTGGAAGTCTTGAAATGTTCACTTTGGCAACAGTATATAAGTGCATTTTCTGGAGGTTGACAATGGAAGTTGAACCTAGAAACTAACCGAAAAATTATTTAATGTTTAGCAAGACAAGAAAATTGTATATAATAAGTTAAAATTTCAGGACTGGTATTTTTATACTCATTTGAAAGTGTAAAAACTGTTTTGTTTGAGGTAGATGAGTATAAAAAAAGAAGAGGAACATGGTACAGCTTTATTCACAGAGAATGGTCTTGTTATTCCTGATTATTTGCACCACCTCCCACATTATTTACTCATATTCCGTATACAGAACTGGCAGAAACACACCCGTGTTTGCATCTGATCACCACCGTTGCCCTAAGATAACCAAACATATGCTTTATGATGTAAAAGCCTGTAATAAATTTTTTTTTTCTCCAATGCTTTGAGAATTTTCTATTTGAATCAAGTTTTATTGATGTATTTTTCATGACTGACTTGAGCTTGGAGTAGAGAAAGTTTCTAAAACCTTTACACAGACTTTTGTCTGGTTTCAGTGCGGCACCTTCACAATATTCCAGCAATGTTTTTCATCATTAAATAGGTTTTGTTGACCATTTATCTTTCATCCATGGATTGTTTATGGTTTGAACAAAAAAAATATTCAGAGCTGGAAAAAGACCCTTACATTAAGAAGTCACTAGTACCATATCTATTGGTGCTTCAGAAGACTACCTGGTATAAACATGTAATCAAAACATTTGAGTAACTTTTAATCACCGAGGATACATATTGGATGGCTGCATGCCTTCTACATTTAGCCATGGTGCAGCCTTATTCCAACGTGTACTAAATTAATCTCTCTTCTCAAGCTACATGCACATAGCTTCTTCTCTATTTGCCTTCTTCAAAATGGGAACCAAAAGTAAACAAACTAATGTAATCTAGATGGGTACTGATGTTTAGAAGTCAGTAAATGGTTACAGGAAAACAGCTACCCAATTGCGCTTGTATCTGCAGTCAGAGAAAGGAAGGTTTGTATTTCTTTTTTCTTTTCAGGTGACTAGGCCAGGGAATTTAAAAGTGGGGGTCCTTGTGGTTTGCCAGAGGGCCTATGAAAATTTTAGGGAAAAAATAAACAAGAACTGCAAAAATTCAATAAAATGTTTTTTTCCTAATTAAATATATTTTGGTTGTTTTTATTTATTATAGTAATTGATATCTTACAATATATCATATAGAAACAAAAAGCAACACATTAATTGAGGATTTTCCTCTTTCTAATTACATGTAAAACAGGATTATCCAACCTTGGCTAAAATGGCTCCCTATATGTTACTTCTTTAAAAGGTAGCCAAAGAAAAAAACTAAAAAAAAATACAACCTTGATTCAGTGCTGTGTATGTAACTGAGAAAGGTTTGATTTAATTTATGCTTCAACATTTTGTTGAACCATTTGTTATTCCATGGGAATTAAGACGCAATTGGAAACATATATTTGTAATCATTTTATGTCAAACAAATGTAACACAGGGTGACAGGAATGCACATGGCTGCAGGTCTTACACATTTAGCTATAGTGCAGCCTTATTCCAAAGGGTTCTAAATTAATCTCTTTTCTCAAAATTCTGCAAACAATAACTTATAACAATAAAAAAAAAATTTACTGAAGCATTGAAGATTGAGCTGATGTGAATATTGTTATCACTAATCATTCTGAAAAGGTTTTAACAGTTTAAATGGAGTCCTCCCATAGTAATTCAGCTGAATGGACTTAACTCAAAGAGGCACACACTTGTCTTTAAGGTGGCATAGTTGGCTGTGCCTGTCAGAGTGCAAACATGGAACATGAATTGAATTGAAATGGGTGCGGACCTCCTAGAGAGAGAGACACAAATCTGGGGAAAAACACTGGAAAATAAAAATACTGCTTTGAAGTTTCTAGTGAGCACTTTGTTTATTAATGGAATAAGTTTGGAACCACCTGGGCTCTTTCTAGAGCTGGTTAGGGGCCCTTAGAAGAGGTGACCAAGAACCTTCCAGAAGGACAACAATCCCTGCTGCCACCATTCAGGCCTGTACAGTAGTCTTATCTAAAACAATGATTTAACTCTGATGTGAATGCTGGGTGTCATTTTGGAGGAAACCAACCAAAGTTGGTGCAAAGAGTTATGGGGATTTTTTTATTTTTTATTTTGCAGATAATGTCAGCGTAGTCAAGATAGAAGGAAAGATGAATGCAGAAATGCAAAGAGACACCCTGAATGGAAAATCTGCTTCAGAGCTCCCTGGACTTCAGACTGGGGAAACGACCTAAAGCACAGCAATGATCCCAAAATGGCTTTAGAAATACTTCCTTAATGTCCTGGAGTGTCCAAGCCAGAGTCCAGACTCAAATCGGATTGAACAGCTCTGGCAGACCTGAAAATGGCCATGCAGACGTTTCCTATCCAACCTGATGGATTTTTAGATGTACTGCAAAGAAGAATGGGCCAAACTGCCTAAATCTAGATGTACAAAGCATGTGGCATTGTTTTCAAAAAGTGCAAGTCTTGTGATTTAAATTTTCCATTTCTAATTAAAACCAAGGTGATGTGCAGTAAGTGATGTAATAAAATATGGTAACTTTAAAGCCAAAAAGCTTTTACATGTATTCATTTACCATAGCTGCCAATAATTAAGCAATATAAGATTTATATAAAGATGGATAGGATTTGCATGTTTACTGCACACTGTTAAAAAGCAAAAAGTCAAATTCAAATATTTCAAGACAGTACAAATTTATATGATCTTTTAACATTTTTTTCATTTGCAGCACCAACTTATACATATACATACATCTGACGATTTATAATTCAATTCACATACCAGAAAACAAGACTTACAAAATGTGAGAAAATGCTTGAAAAATGAACGTCAAACCGAACCCATGGGAGCCATGGTGACTTAATTTTAAATAACAATTTAACATTAAACAGAATATCGTTTAGAATATTTTGACATATTTCATAGAAAACCTAATAAAGGGTCCATTCAAATATAACACTGGTCAGTCCTGTGAAGAGTTTCATGGCTTGCTGTGACCTACAGTACGTTCAGCCAAACAATCCTAAATTTGAGCCGATCATTCCAAAAATTCCTCACATTATTGGAGCGGAGTCAGGAAAAAAACAACAAAAAAACCAAATCAGAAAGATGAGCTGTGGTTCACTCCGGTCTTTGAGAGTTTCTGGGAAATGGCGGGAGTGGCAGAGTCACAGACTGTCGGTTCTTGCTGCCGGACCTCCTCATCCAGCTCTCTGATGAAGTGCTTAAGGTCGCTCAGACAGCGCTCTCGTATCTCTCCAAGGTTCTCTCTGAGAGGGACTTGCAGCTGTTTCTCCAAGCTGGGATCCTTAGCCACGAGCATTTTCACAACCATTCCGAACGTCTCGCAGTCCTGCCTGTAGACCTGCAGAATGACAAGGAATGTTGATTTAACACTTATCTTTTTACAAAATGCTTTTTATAAATGTGATGGCCCAGATCTGGGCCTATGCATTTGAATGCAGATTTCAGAGGAGGCCTGTGTGTGTGTGTTTGAGAGGTGGGGTTTAAGGAAAAGCCTTTAATTTGATGGTAATGAACCATTTCCTTCCTGCTCTACCAGTCACCTGGATGCAAATACTTCACAGCACTATGCCTCAGCTAACTACTACATTGTGAATAAAGTAGTGTCAGAACAGATGACTTCTTTTGTAGGCCATGTGCTAAAGCTAAGAAACAATCCCAAACACATTGAATCAGTATTTTAGATGTTTATATCAGATGTTAAAGCTGTAATAATGAAATAGGTGCTTCAATAGAGTGAACACTGATATTTAAAGGAATAGTACACCCAAAACATGATTAGCCTTCATTTTCTACTCACCCCCATGCTGAACACCACCCTGGAGTACTTTTTTGATATCTCAAATGCATCTGGAGATCTGGGAGGCTTCTTGCTGTCTGCTGACATTCAAATAATGGAGGTCTATTGTGCCCGAGGCAGAAAGGTCCATAAAAGTCCACAAAAACGTGTCAATATTCCTCCATACTGCTCGTCCAATGTATTCCAAGTGTCCTGAGTGGGTAGCATCCAGAATTTGTGCCGGCTTCCATAGCGTCGTGAACGCGCATGTGCGCGCTTTCAGGAAATCCTATACACTACTGTTTATGCTCTAAAAACGTTCTAAATGACTTCGTTTTGAGTAAATTCTGGATGCTACCCACTCAGGACACTTGGAATACATTGGACGAGCAGTATGGAGGAATATTGACACGTTTTTTGTGGACTTTTATGGACCTTTCTGTCTCGGGCACAATAGACCTCCATTATTTGAATGTCAGCAGACAGCAAGAAGCCTCCCAGATCTCCAGATGCATTTGAGATATCAAAAAAGTACTCCAGAGTGTTGTTCAGCATGGGGGTGAGTAGAAAATGAAGGCTAATCATGTTTTGGGTGTACTATTCCTTTAAGTGATAAAGCATAACACTGCAGTTAAATTGAGCTTAATAGGGAAAAACAAAGCCAGAGGTACAGCGGAGGGGTTTAAAAAAAACTGACGAGGAATAAAAAGGTGCAGAGCTAAGATCATCACCTTCATCATTTCAAGACATTTAGGAAAAACGTTTCCATGTTAAACAGTTTTGAGTATTTGTCAGGTTTTATTCTTGGGATCCAAAAACCAAACAATGCAAAAAAGAATCTAAAATTAGTTTAGCATTTTTGGATTGTAGGAAGAACAATTGCAATATTTTTCTGGTATCTATACTTAGAAGGCTTTATTATTCCTCTGAACCTTTCAATCACTATGGACTAAAACCTAAAGTGAACGCTAATGAACAAAAACGGTTTGTGAAATTCCTTAAAATAGCATTTTGTGGTAGTTAGAGCTCATATTCGAATTTAAAGTCTTTAGGTGTCTTAATTCCTTTCCTGTCAGCTGTGAATTTTTTCTGTCACTGATGATAAAATGTCGATAGTTTAAATAAGCATGGCATTGATCAGGTGACTCTGACCTAAAAGGTTATATTGCCAGACTGGTGAAGGTATCTTTGACTGTTTTTTGTAATTGGTGCTCATTAGCACCAACTTGTAGGGAAAAGCCTGAATAGTTTGCAGCATGTATGACCGAGTGTGACCTAGATTACAGTGGCAACACTGGCTAAAATGGACAAAGAGAAAAAAAAATACAAATGGAATAAAAACATTTGCAAGTTACCAATGTTTTTAAAAGAGTTTATACAGATTAGTTTAACCTCTTTTCCAGTTTAGCAAGACAAAATTATAAACCTAAATCAAATGGTTAAGCATGAACTATCTTTCTAGACTGGACCCAAGTAATTTGTTTTCAAGTTACAGTGTAGAAATGAACACCATTTCACAACACAACCATTACATTACCTTCCAATGTTCTATAACCCCAAGGTCTGTTTTTCCTGAGTCAGAACTAAGTTCACTACCTCTGATGAAGTTGATGCGCTGGGAGCCGACTCACAAACACATCCCCTTTAACAGCGCATACAGACAAACATCTATGTACCCATCAGCCTCCGTGTTTTGAATTAGGCCAGACAAAATCAACTCTCAGTTGTTCAGCCATAGTGGCTTCTCCGCTGCAGGGCCCACTGACTCACCAACTTTATTTATAGATTTTCACTTTGTTCGTTGAAGAACAAAGATCTGCTGTATAACAGTTTATTTGTAATGAGTTAAACAAAATAAACATCCCCCTTAGACTAAAAGAACAGAGTAGAACCACTTCTTTAACGAACTACGAATATTTAGCCAGTGTTTGATGAAACCTAAAAGCTAAAGTTAAGCTCTTAACATCTCTTCATCATCCTCATCATTTCCAAAAAAAATAGATTTATTATAAATCTACACATATAAAAGTTTTAGTGAAAGGTTAACAAAAAAAAGGCTATAGGCATTAAAGTTATTCATTTTTTAAATTAAAGTTTTATTGGGTTTATATTAATCATAACAGAATTATGATAATATAGTTATAGTGAGGATTCTCAAATAAAGGAAACTAATAAAGGTATTAATTGTCAAACATGGTGATGGCAGCATTATGCTAGGTGACTGTTCAACAAAAAAGACTTTCTATGAAATGTCCATTATTATAAACATAAAAAAAAATCTTAGAAATTAACTCACTGAAACTTAAAGGTGTAAAAAATACTTCCAAACCTTTACAAGACAAAAGGTGAAAATTAGCTGTTCCATATAAACCATCAAGTCCCTGCCTTACACAAACACGTCCAGAGGGAGGGGAAAATAGGTGGCGTGGCTTTTTAAATGATTTACTTAATAGGAAGAAAACAGTGGCATTAATCACTGCAGAGGAAACATGCCTTGATCATCAGGATGTTTCTAAACCAGGTGCTGACGCAAATCAAACACACCCGACCTTTAAACATGGTGTGTGTCCATACATGTAGAATATAATTACAAGGGATGTGTGTAAATCACTCTCTATACTGTTCTAGATAAACTAACATACTTCCTTTTAGGTATCCTAACAATGTCTGATGATAACATTCAGCAGCTAACTATTTACGCTATTCTCTCAGGATGTAACCAATCAGTATGGAAAACGGCTGCTATAAATACAGGAAGAAGCTGTTCCTACAAAACAATGTGCAGAAAACGAGGTTCATGTATTCAGCCATGCTCCTAAAAATCTATCCAGTTATCCATCAGGAAGGAAAGAAGTACCGGTAGTTTGCAACAGAAACAGACAAACTCCCGTCTTATGATAATTCTTTGAAAGTATTCAAAAATGAGGAAATAAAATAAAATCACTTTTTTCATCTCTAATGTGAGGTTTTCAACACAATTCTACTGCAAAACAACAAAACAAACTAATGGGAAACAAAAAGTGTTTTATGAAAGATTGAAAAATTGTGACTAATGACTATAAATGGTTAGATACTAAAACTTCAAAGTGTAGTATTAACAATAGTAAATGGAACCACCTATTATCCCACTTCAGTTACATGATTTATCTTTTTTATCTTTAAAACAAAATCATACTCATGCATCTCATCACAGTGAAAAAAATAGAAATCTAGAGAATTCATTTTTCTTAAAATAAGTGCATTTTGTCTTGAATTGAGGTGATAAGTGAGACCCTTTACCAATGGAACAAGATAATTTAAAAGTTTTAAAATAAGGGAAAAAAACTATTGCATCATCTTATTTCAAGTGCATTTTAACTAATCTTGTTTTAAAAGTAGAAATAGTAATTAAATTGGCAAAACATCTTATTTACCTACTCAAATTAAGAGTAAATACATTTAATTAAAGAATGTTTTACTTATTTCTAGATGGTTTTTGCAGTGAGTAGCATCGGACTTTTGAACAAAAATGAGACAAACTACTTTGACAATGAAACATTTCTAATCCTTTACAATTGTCATATTTCGCCGTTTATATTCTGATTATTTCTAAAATAACTCATGTCTGCTTTTCTTTGCCATAGACTTCATATAAAGCAGATATTTCTTTTGGCATCCTTCTCCTTAATGGTACCTTTAAGATCCCGCTGATCCTTTGTAACCCCTCTATAAACCACGGCTTTTGCCAAAGCATACAAATGATCCGACATCAGTGAAATCCTGACATTGAAAATTATTTCACATAATTGAGACTCAGTATGATTTATGTCAGGGCTCTATTCAAGATTTGCATATGAAAGCAATCTAGGCAGCGTATAAGACCAAGTGTTAGTTTAAGGCTGTGAAGACTTATGAAGCCGAGGGAAAGATTTTATATGGTTTATGTTTTTTTTATATCTTCACCACAAAGACTGGGAATTTGACAGGGTGTGTGATCGTTTTAGATTTATTCCAGGCTGAATCTGGATGTTTGCATCTCCCCTTATGCTGATGGTTGTAGATTAGGACTGTGAAATTGCCTGGTTTAAAAAACATAAAATGATAATAAAAAAAAAGCAAAATTGAATAGAAACTCAAAAAGCTTAAGCGTTGTTCTTTGGGTAGTAAAGAGTAAAACTACCATCTTTACAGCATGCATGCCTCGTCAGTCACTCCAGCCAGCTTCTATGATGCTGGCCGTTTAGGTTTCAAAGAGGGACGCTCTGTGAGTGTTTTAGAAGAAGGCCCATTTAGTGCGTTTGTGTTTGTGTGAGGGCAGTAAATTGAGAGCATTTAACGGAGGACAGAAAGCCAAACATCTGAACCACACTTGTCATCTTGTCACTTGAGAAAAATACTGTTTTGACTTTAGATTGCAAAAGTGAAAGTTACTTTATCATGGAGTAAAAATAAACCGCTAACCTAAGTGAGTTTATCTGAACGTGGAAGGGATGGTGGGAAATTATGACCGCTAAAACAGAAAAGTAGTTTGATGCAATTTAAGGATACTGGGGAGAATAATGCAAACTGTAACTCCTATTCCTTCACCTTATGCAGGGACAAAAGTAAAAACAACACCTTAGGATGGAAAGAACAAATTAATGTATTTTTGTTGCCCTCCGTAAGGTTCCTACCTCCTTTTACTGCTAGCATTATTCAGAGAGCACTTAAGAAGACTGCCAACACACCTCAGCTTTGGCTTAAGTGTACTTACAGAAAAGCACTATTAGGACAAACTAGTTAGAAAGCAGCCTTTAGGTTTTGGCTAGTGTATTGAAGCCTCAGTAGTTCAAATATTCACCAAACAAAAGAAAGGAAGCAGTAGAGCAGGGTTCCTACATAAAGCTTCACAGCTGAATTACCTCCTTAATAAGCATTTAAGTTCTCCCGTCCTGCTAATGACCTGATTATTAGACTCAGATGTGTTGAAGTAGTGACACATCTAAAGGCTGCAGGACAGCAAACCTCCAGGACCGAAATACACAAAAGCTGTTTTAGTTCTTTGATTTAGGGAAAAAAAAAAACACCGATTGAATTACTTTTTCTGGCAAGATATGTCCAAATAACACATGAAAAAGATCAGAGCTGCAAAACAACTGATGAAATCTGGAAATGATAAAGGCCAGAGAACGTGAGAGAACAAAAGTTGGAAATGCAAAAGAACATTAAAAAAAACACTTCATATATAAATATTCCTTTGTTTTCCTTACCAAATAGTCTTTCTATAAATGAAATGGGACACCCCCTAAACAAAATTTTTGGTGAAAAAGAAAACCTTGATTTACAGAATCAGCCACAATTACCGGTTCACCAAGCCATTTATATGCATTAATCAGACAAATTTTAATTTTGATTAAGACAGTTTACTAAAAGCCATCCTATAGGTATGTTTATTCAGGCCTGTTCATCATTAAATTCAGACATAAAGGTTTTCTAAACTAGATTCCCAGGACTTTAAGTAAAGAAACATGTTGACAGCACCACTGATCCGCCACCATATTTATCATAAACGTAAACGTATAAAGCACATGCTAAATTGGAAAGGTGAAGAAGACATTTTTACTTTAATGCAACCCAAACAACCACGGTGAGTTGTTTCTACTATATAAAGAAATATGTTTAAACTGAAAGCTGGATGGATACAAATCTTTCAATGCGAGATTAGGCTACCTCCCAGGGGTGCTATTGTGGCCTGCACTGCGAGTAACAATAAGAATTTACTCAAGAAAATGAGCAAAAACACAAGCAAGGACAAAATGCTTTGACTGTAAAACAGGAGGGAAGGTGCAGCGTCAGCAGGAACATTACGGCAGAGCTGCAGGCTCACTGGTGCAGCTCGCTGGGAGAGGGAACCGAATGCTCCAGGGCAAAGTTAGCTCAAGTTTTAATGGTTTCGAGTAAACCAGTGGTAGCAATAACTGGTCCTGGCATGGCATTCATTAGACAAGGGAGCAGATCTGGAACTTTTAGCCTGGGGTCCTCCAAGCTCTGTTAAACATGCAATTTCAACATTTACTGTGTGTGTTTAAAAAGCAAGAGTCAAGCTTTACCTCATTAATAACGATGGCATGAATAAACCAGAGCTGCAGGTAACAAGAAGTTAAAGGAGCCAGAAGGAAAACTGTTCCAAGAGTAAAAACCTTAACCTAAGGGAACCAGATAAAGTCTATATATGTGCATTTCTTTACTCTGCACCTAAATTAAAAGAGTGATCATTTAAAATGTGCTCAATATGACCCCTTCCCCCGATCAACAAATCCCTCGTTTTTAGTAGATAAAGGACATGTACCTTTTCAATCTCCTTGGCTTTGGCTGCGATAGCCATAGTTCGCCTCTCTTCTGAATTCTCAGTTGACTTTTTGCTTTCCTCAATCACAGGGGCTGCAACTGGTTCCTCCTTTTCTACTTCCGGAGGATGACTCTCCTCCTGCAGAGAGGAGAAGAAAATGTGAGGAGCTTTAAAGAAAACTAGGAAACAGGAAAACATGCACAGAAATTGCTTTTAACATTAAGACTTGATGAGAGAAACAAATCCAAGATAAATTACTCAAACATCATACATGACCAAATGAACAGACAAAACAATGTTATGGAATATGGGTCAATAACCTGAGGCCCAACATCAGTGGATCACTGTGAGTGGCTCTTTTTTAATAGAAAGATCTAAGTGAATAAAACATAAAAGGTCAAGCTTAGATCTAGCGTCACTTTAAGTAGTTTCTACTTGACAATATAGGATTTTTATTAGTAAATTCTGTCCAGAAACAGTTATTAACCATTCAAATGAACAGACTGGAAACTGTGGCAGCCATGTTCCTGCAAAACCTGAAACCGAGTGTAAATAGGGTCATACTATTAATGCTCATTTCCTGATTCTGTGAGAGTCTGACGGCCAAACCGCAGAGCTACCCAAGCAGGAATAAAGTTCACTCATACATTAAGAAGAAACGGGCCACGGACCGAGTCATCTTTCATTCCTAGATGGCTGAGTAAAGAGAGGGGATGGAACATCAAGGCCAACTGCTGTCTAAAAAAGAAAAGCGCAACTCATAAGGAATCATCCAATTATTCCTTCCTATTCAGTCCCAACCATAGCTCCGGGGAGAAGTCCTGCATACATACTTGTGCATGCAAGATAGATCACATTTGTCAGTGTTCAACCTCCTTTGCTTGAGTAAAAAAGAAAAAAAATTGCAAACTTACTGGAGCTTAATAATAACTGGCAGGAAAAAGTCTTGAATGCGTTCCACCCCTTTCCCAAGACGAAGCAGGACAGAATTACCTCCCACATAGAGAGAATCATAAATGTAATTTTAGGGGGATATTTAATCACTTCTGCAACAAACCATTCAATAAACACAAGATTTATTCTTGTCGTTGCAAAGCATGCGTTTCCAGAAACTAATACGCTGTGTTTTCACGGATTCCGTAGTGCCGGAAATAAGGGAAGTAACTGTTGGAGAGCAACATGGACGGGAGCCAGAGCCTCTTACCAGCACTGCGCCATGTTTATCGAATGTAAACAGTTGTTTTGGCTTGTTAGATCAGAAGCGATTGGCGCAGTTTGTTGATGTTCGTACGTTGCGTTCAATGGTGTCATGTATTTAACGGTTCAACCCGGGTCTGGTGTTCCCACAGCATGCAATCAGAACCGATGCATTTGACCCAGGTAGACACTCATCAGTGATCTGTTCCCACTGCCACTAAAAGCCGGTTGTCCCCGGGTTAAACATGTTTTTCAGTCAGTGTGAAAGGGACTGCGAAGGCCCCAGAGATTTGTTAGAAAACAATAATAAAGTAAAAAGATGGATTAGGAATAATGTGGTGGAATAGTTCAACCCAGGTTCTGGATAAATACTAGGGATGCGAATCGAAAACCAGTTCTGTGTGTTCCAAATCCATGGCACCGTTTGGCAGCTTGCTTAACGATTCTCTTAACGGTTCCATGCAGCACCAGAGCCTAGCGCTGGGCAGCACGACTTACAACACATTTTTTATTGCAAGTTACACGCACAACATTCAGTAAGCAAGTACAACATTCCCAGGCATAAGTAGAAAAGCAAAACAAAAAAAATGGCACCCCATCGGGTAAAGCGATCAAAAGTTTGACTTCGTTTTATGGAAGAGAAAGATGGCAACAAGGTGCTTTGCAATCGTTGATGCTTCGGGACAGACGCTCCAGTTATGATCAGCATGGAAGGCAACTCTGGTGGTAAGTACCTAGTTTTATATCACTGGCTGTGCTTAATGTGATTCCTAGTAAATCATATGCCATTACCGGAAATAAACCAATTTCCTACCTCTCTTTGGGGTTATTAAACATGTAACGAAGTTGCTCCGCAGTTCAGTGAGCGAGAGAAAGGTGACGCTCGTTTATTTAAATCAGGGAGAGATGAGTTGATTTCCAGAAATTGTACAGTAATGCTTTTTCATTAAACGGATGCCTTATCCATTAGATTTAGATAATTGTGATGAGACGGGTAGCCTGGCTGGCTCAAAGGCTGGCAGCTCCCGTTCACTGCCTCCTGTTTTTGCCGAGGCGGACAGAAATAGAATGTCCCAGGCGAAGGTAGAAGAATGTCACCGCACACTAAACAAGTTCATTGTTCACAGAATCGATAAGGCAATTCCCAACCCTAATAAATACCCAGAGCAAACGTGTCACAGAACAAATCCATCTCCCAAAATGGACAGGATATGGCACAACTCCAAATTCTTTAGATTTAAAAGCCAGTTTAAAAAGTATCTCACTTTCATTCAGCCTCAGGGTTATGCACTAATCTGCCACAATACATCAAGTTTGAGGTGTAATGTTACAGAATTCCATAATTAATACTTTCATAAGCCGTGTATCTGCATGTTAGAACACACATAGGTATCTTACTTGGTAAAATATGAAATTATAAACAGGAATTTTCAGCAGAGATGAGCCTCCTGATGACCTTTCCTTTGTTCCAAATCCAGCCCTCCACCCATTGATCACCTGGCTGTGAGCCAAAGGTGGAGCCCTCTATAGTCCCTCTCCTCTTTGGTCTCTTCCGTCAGTGATGACCCCAGAAAGCCTTTGTGTGCATGCTGAACTGCCACAGCAGGCAATGACCCAGACCATCGGAACAAGCTTTACTAAGAGCACAGCAACAATCTTTCATCTCGGCCAAGGTTATGGGCATGTGCCCTGGGAACGAGGAACAATGCGCCGCAGCACAGATCAAAACCAGCAGCAGCACATGTTTCTATGTGTACTTGTGGACAAGCGGGACAGTAACAAACTTTGATCACAGCATTGATCCAATTGGACGTGCGTCAGAAAGAGACACGCTTCTATTTGGTTATTACTGATGTTACCCAGCTTTCATTTAAATGGCCAAGTACAGCCAAAAAGTCAGTCCAGTTTTTGAAATAAAGCATTCCCTAAAATTATACTTTGTCTTTCAACTTCAGCAGTCACCTCTGGCAAAAATAAAAAAAGGGTTTGATTTAGTCTGTGGTTGGCCACACTGTTTCTTAACTGGTTCAGTGAAACCCCAAAGCCACTCTGGTCATAACAGAGATGCTTCAATTACTTTTTGATTAAAGGGAACTCAACCCTGACTTGTAAAATATTACAAGTCAGTCGCCTCTAGTTTCACTCTTGAGATAGGAAGAAGCCTTTACAAAAGCAGCTTTTTGAAAGACAAAAGAAATAGACCAAAAACTAATGGTTGGGCAATAGGGTTTCTGATGAAGAAAGCAAACTAAGTTTTACCATTTTTTGATACAGAAGTAGGCTGAAAGGAGCCAAAAGATTGGCTGTCAGAAAAAGGGACTGAGAAATGATTACTTTAAGCATATTTACATATAAAGCTTTCCTCTGGATAATATCCTAAGAGTGTTTCCAGGTTTTTAACATTTGCCACAAGTCTCTGTGCTTGAAGGGGATGGAGAAAGGAGTGTATAAAGACAGTTTGTACACATCAGCGTATGTAAAACAACGTTCACTATATGTCAAAACAAAGCAGCGATGTGCACTTCCTCAAATAAATCCACATCCAAGGCTTAGAAAGAGCTCCCATGCTGCCCTGGTGATGGCTAATAAATGCCAGTAACTACAAGCATGAAACAGTGATTGTTAAAGACATAAAGACATAGTTCATTGGTAGCTTCTCTATCTGTTGCATCAACTCTCCACCCGTCATAGAGAAGCGACATCATTTATGCATCAAGCACATCTGCATAAATTTTAAACTTAAAGTTTGTCATTGGTGCTGATGACTTTAAAAAAAATGCAAAGATGACACAACAGAAAACAGATGCTATGGCTGCAACAAAAAAATTTATTTTGCAAATCAGTTAATCTGTTGACCATTTTTTTCAATTAATCGATTTAAATTTGTAAAAAGTCTTCTTTAAAAAATCTTTGGCTATACAATTTTTAAACAGTTGAAACTCAAACATTTCCTTTTCTATATATTAAATGCTAAATGTTAATATGTGTTTTTACAATCCTGATATAATTACTGCTCTAAGTAGGCAGATCTGTCAGCTAAAGGCATGTTTCAGAGTCTATACTTCAGTTAACGATTAATCCATTACTAAATTAATTGAGGATTATTTCAATAATCAATTAATTAACTTTTAATAGTTCCACATTACTGTGGAGCTATCAAAAAAATCCTTATAATCATCTTTACAAACTTTTGGAAATTGCAAAGTTTCGCCAGTTCAAAGAGCTTTTTCTAAACCTTAGCTGTGTTCAGCACAAAGAAGTTCCACAAGTCTAGAAGACACAGAACATTTTAGAAAGATGTCAAATCATCAAATGAATAAAACGCTGCACAACCTTTAAAAAATGATAGACACAAATCAGCGCTAAAGACATTAACAGGCAGCACTTTCAGACCATTTAGATTTTTTTCCAAAGCTATGAATGAGGCATAAAACACAGAAGCCTCTCAAATTCTAGTCAAAATGTTCCCTGTGAGTCTCAGGTTGCACTTCAACCAAAAAAAAAAATCATACGACGGATACCTTGCTCCGTCCAGCAGACACTCGCACATGCACAGACACACTCTCCCCCTGCATAAGGAAACGATTGTTCATTGTAAACAGCATAAACACATCTAAATGAGCTCTGCTGGGACTCTGCTGTCTTTGCGGTCAAGATCATGTGATAAAGTTATGACTTGGGCTACTGAGTTAACCCCTAGCTTCTGGGTGGCCTTTGCTGCACACCCTGCTCCTAATCGCAATCACCATCTGATTTTATTTACCCTCCCTGTGCGTATCTGGAGATGGATGCATGAGCGAAACAAACTACTGTTTACAATTCAGTCCAGAGATGTACACATTCAACACTAAAAGTAGTTTTTAAAAACTTTGTCAACCGTCAACCACTTTCTTTTACCACTATCAGTCTATGTAACAGAAGTCTGCTTACACCAATGGTAAACACAACGCAGGCCTGATGGCTTTTATGATGTGCGTGAACATTGCTTAAAAAGCCATTAGCATGCTCCAGTAGGACTGAACGCTTATAGCTAGGATGGGATTTAAGAAGTTCCAGATGCACCATGCAGTAACGGGACAAATGCAGAGAGCAGGGCCGGCAATTAATGTGAATATGTTTAGCAACTTTAAACAAAAGTTGTTTATTTGTTAAAAACACAAATTAAACGTCCTTTTTATGGAAACATATTGGTCTCCATTACTCACCTTATTTGATGTTGCACTTTGCGGGGAGCCTTCTCGTGACAGGCCAGGGATTTTGTCTAGAATTTTAAGAAGACAAAGGAGAAAGAGAACAAAGAAGTGATACATTCAACTTTAACTTTGGAGCTAACAAGTAAGATGATCCCACAAAGAGACTCAGGAATAGAGAAAAAGTGGAGAAGCTGACATCTATAAAAAGAACGAACAAGAGATGTATAAATATAGTTTAAGGAACAAGGATTACTGTTGTAGCCAAAAACTGCATTAAGTTAATTACAGACACCCTTAAATTCAATTTAATTTCTTGTGTGACCCACTTCTAGGTCAACTAAAAACACCAATAGAAACCCCCGGCGTTCCGAAAGAAACATAAAAAATGGCTTCAGGAATATCCATCAGACACACTATACCCACACCCCTCTACTTCTGGTGCCGTCTTTACGATCACCGACGGCGGGAAGGACAAAACAGATGAGAAGGGCTTCCTGCAGGACACATTAGAAACGCTTTCTGTCAACTCAGGTTAACTTAATTTAACGGTTTGAATTTCTATTCATTTGTTCTGGAAATTGCATCTGTTACTGTGCAAAAATAATGGATAAAAAGATATGTTAGGCAGTTATTTAACTAGCAGTATGTATTAAGTTTGTAGCATTAGTTAAATAAAGAAGATATAGAAGGTAGAAAATAAGTATCAAGGTGTTAAACTCATTAAGATACCGAAAGGGGAGGATGCCAGCAAAATTAGGCCAGAGGAAAATTTAACAGAACCTTGTTGCTGAGATTGAAATATTGATCTATTTTTCCTCATTAGATAAACTAGTCATTACTTGGGTTCTAAGTTGAAAATAAGCCAAAAGCAGAAGGTCATTAACACTTAATTATTTATTAGACTAATTAAATCATAGCTAAATTAAACTAAATTCTTCTACATTAAGATTTTTTCCTACCGTCATGTGGAACTAGTCCCTTTATAACTTCATATTTCTAAGCATATTTCCCCCAAGACTTTCCAGATGTTTGGGAACCAAATTAAATGCACCCATTTTTATTATGTGAAATGTTCCTTCATATTGAGGTTGGTTTCCAAGCTAACGGCAAAATAAAGGGTTGCTGGTTTTTCTTTGGGCATGTTGAAAATCTCATTCTTAATCCATATTTTATTTGTTAAAAACTGGAATGAATGCTCTAGCACTTTGTAAATCATATACCTTTATACTGTTTATAGTAAAAGGTAAATAAAAGTTTTGTAGAGTGTTAAACATTTTACTCTAAAACTAAAGATAAAAAAAAAGCTGTTAGGTTTTTAATGAAACTAGGCCCTTATTAAAGTTTACAGCCATTTTATTTAACCATTCTTTTCTTAAATGTGGTTACATGCTTAACCACATTCAAATAAACACTTTTGAGGAAAGTTTTCAAATAACCAATTACCGGTAAATGGATTCCATCAAAGTGGAACCAAATCAATCGAGAACCATTTACTAAACATTAGATGTAATTTTAATACCAAACACTTTAACACAATGTAATTATTTTGTCACCTTCTATAAAAGAAAAATATTCTGCCATCAAGATTTTTAATACAATTCTTTCCCTCATGGGGACCTGAAATAATTATTTTCATCTTTTCAATACTTAGAAATCCAATTCCCACAAGGTTTTATAATTATAAAAAAGAAGCTAATCCCTTTCCAAGCACAACACGAAACTTCAATCACAGTTAATTAAAATAAATAAAGCAGATATACACATACTTTTGCAAAAGTCTGAATAAAGACTTAAATTAAAAACATATCTATATTTTTTAACTGCCTTATTCTTGCATTATAAATCAGTTATCCCACTTAACAGCAGAGACCACATTTTGGCCGTCAATAACTAGACTGAGCTTTACTTACCAATTACCTTGGACTGAGAATAAGTTTCTTCATACCCTGCAGGAAGACCAAACCGTAAGGTCACTAAACTAAGTACTATAACTAAGACATCTAGTAAGAGCATGCATCCACTACATTGTCCCTATGAAGAAAGTTTTGTACTCTTCTTTTATATGCACCTCTAAATCATTACAAAACCACCACTCTTGTTTCACGAAGTACACAAAAAGACAATGTTATTTGGGTATAAATTGAATCCTTATTTCACAGGGGAAAGCTCAAAGTGAAATGGAAAGCAGAGGAAAGAGGTGAAATAATGTTAAATGGAGGATTAAAGGTTTCATCATGCAGAATGTCAAGAGATACCTTTAGCACTTTCAAAGTTTATACCACAGCTATTAAAATGCGCACATTTGGGGAAAAAAAAGAATAAAAAACTCTACTTTCAATCAAATTAAAGTATTTGTGTTACAAAGTCTTGTGGATGGATCAAAGTAGAAACAATGAAAAGAGCCAAGGTATCCCTCAACGAGAGGCTAAAATGGATTCCTGATGCTCCAAAGTCCCCACTAGATTCTACATTAGATTTGAAAACTCATGAGAGCACTTACTTAAGACCTGGGTAAAAACTCTACATGTTTTGAAAATAACAGCTAAAGTTGCTGAGCTGTTTTATCTTTTGGTATTAGCAGAAAAATGTGGCTCTGATCTCATTTTGTGTAATCCTCCAATTCATTTAAGTGGTCTTCATCATGTTTTGGGCACGACAAAGATGCAAGTAAAGACATCACCCAAGTCCAAGCTTGTTCACGTGAGTTTGTGTACAGACCCAAAGTCTCGTGTCCAGTCTGAGGAAAGAGCGCCCCCCAGAGGTGCTCAGTAACACCTGTGTGACTCTCTGGAACGTCCAAGTCTGGAAAAGCCAATCAGCCAGATTGTAGGTGGAGGAAACGGAAAGAGATTGTGAAAAAAAACAAAAGAAATGGGGGAAAAAAAAAAAGAGTACATATGAATTTAATTGCATTTTTTTTTTTTATCATTTATTTCTGTTAATCCCTTTGAAGCTGCAATCTACTCTGATTTTGGTCAGTTACATTCCTTTGGTCTGTTTAATGGCGTCTAATAAAAATACTTAACATGCTTACGTATGCTGGGTGGATTTTTTATGAAGGTCTTGCTCCATGAACTAAATATTTAGTAGCTTGGATCACAGAATTAATCCGAATGTCTTTTTAAAGTACAAACTTGTATCAACATCTGTTGAACTTTGCCCATGTAGCTTTGCAAAACTTTTATATAGTTTCTTGGTATTTTTTGTAAAACAACACAAAGAAGTGCATGGTTGTGAAGCAGAATAACTTTTTGTAAAGAAAAAAAAAAGTAAATTTTCACTCAGACCCTCTTGGCTAACACTTGGTAGAACTGCTGTTTTCTGCAGTTAAAGCTGCAGAATCTGGGATCATAGCTATAGCAGGTTTGCAAATCTCCAACCTCAGACTTGCGGCCAAAGTGTTTCATATTTATCTTTTGTCACAGTGCTTAACACAAGGAAAGCAGCACATTCTCTACAGGGATACTGGGAAGCTTCAAACAGGACTTCTAACAAACCGTTTATCCAACAACAATGACCCGGGCCGTTTCTCTATTCACAAGAACGCGAGTACGGACTCGTGTCCTCCCAAAGTATGTTCTTGATAAAAACATAGGAGAGTATGGACTTGGGGAGAACGGGAGCATGCAATGTAAATATGGGTCAATTGGAAAAGAAGCATACTCGTGACGTCACCACATGCGCAGCTCGTCTGGAACCGCATTTCACGTCCTGTTATTAATAGTCTCTGGATAATAAAATATTACTTTTTTAATTTAGTGGGGGAATAATAATCAACACAGTAAAACAAACACAAATTGAATGAACGTTTTATTAAATTAAAATCGCCAGAGCCAGCTGCAGTTCACACAAGGCTAAGATGAGAAAAGGCTGCTGCATACAGGCTAATGTTAGCCATGGCTGCGGTTAGCATCGGAGGTCCACTGGTTGCCACGGTCCTCTAAACATCAGAATATTTTAATTAGGCACTAAAAAAGTAAATGAGCCATTTAGTGACACTTAAAACTATAACATTCTCACCTCAAATTATCTTCAAACGTACTTTTATAGAAAAACGGCAACAAAAAAATAAAAAAATAAAAAAAGAACTTTTAATTTCATACTGTTCATACTCGTTCTGTGAGCGCTCCCCTGGAAGCTGATGCTACCATGGTGCATGCTGGGACAGCTGTCAATCTCGAGAACAGACAAGTCTGCTCTGATGCATGCTTGGTAAAAAGAGAGGGGCGAGAACAACATCTGGAGACTTTGTTATCGGTCTTGTGTTCTTATGAATTGGAACAATTCTAGGGCTTAGGCTCGGAACGTTTCATGAGCACATGACAACGTGCAAGTACATATATTGAGAAACGGCCCCGATCTATGTGGTGCACAGTTAAAAGTTGTCCAATAAACTGCTTTCCCCACTGAATTGTTAGTCTATCTCACTTAAGGTAAATAGCTAGTCTTTTGAGATATTCCCAGCTTGGGATATTGTTTTAGAGCTTAACCCAACTTGAAACTTTGCATCATTTTTCTTCCATTTCACAGGAAGACACTACTTTGGGTTGATCCATGCAAACAAACAACCAAAAAAAAAAAAAAACGACAACATGGTAATGAAGTTTGTGGTTTTAAAATGGTAAAAATTTAAGCTGCATTTATACTCCATGTATTGTAAGAAGCTCCTAAGGCCATTTATAACACTCCCATTCTCCAAAGCTTCAAAAGGCTTAGACATTTTGTACATACTCTTGCCTTGCTGTGCTGGAAAAGGCAGGCTCTTGGCTCTCTCTGGCGAGTAGCCTCTACTGCTCACACTGGAGCCTGAGCGACTGTGGGGAGAACGAGCCACCTCGCGGCGGACAGGGGAACGTTCTCTTAGGGGAGGAAACAGAGCTGTCTTTCTCCTGTAAGGATCTCGGTCCTCCCTGGAATAATAAAAACAGACATAAAGCTAGTTTATGGTATACTTAAACAGTTCAAGTGTTTAAAATATATATAAGAAATTTTTTTTTTAAAGATTAAAAAAAAGGAAAATTCTTCTCATTTTATATATCCCTAACCAGTGATATTCTACATATTTTGTTCACTATCCATAAATATTGTACAATGCTGCCATCTAGAATACACCAAGATGTACTGAACTTCATCCTTGGAGGAAAACACTACTTGACTTTATTTCAGCAAAGGAATTTGTGGATTGTAATTTAATTGTGTCCTTAGTTGCATTTCCCATGTTTAATAAAGAAACAATACTAACAAACAAATCCCTTGGTCAGTGATCAGGAAGTCGGTTTCCATACCCTCTGTCCAGGTTGCGGATGGCTTGCACTAATGTATCTTCTCCGCTTTCTGGAAGTGATCTGGGTGCTGGATAGACGCCCTGACTTCGCACACTGTGAGGTGGAGGAACACGAGCCCTGAGGGGGTCACAGTTACATAAACCAATAAAAAAAAAAAAAAAAGATTTAAGATTAACACAAAAAACAAAAAGCTAAAGATCTAAAAAATCCCCCTATATCCACAAAAAACAGAAATGTGTAACCAAAATTTCTCTAACACCAAAGACTATTTGACACAAAAACAAAAAGTGAACTGAAGATCTTCAAGCTTTCCGGAAAAACTTTCAGTAGCTGAATTACTCTATTACTAAACAATAATAGACAATACAGAGCATTAAAATTGTACGGCACTCGGGAAAAGTGAGTTTAGAGAAAATAATGCAAAGTAGAAAGGGCCAGTCAAATTGCTACATAAAAATTTACAATGCAAATACATTTTCTACAGTGTCACTTTGTTCACTCTCATTTTATTATCTTTTATCCCAGTTACAAAAACGTGAACTTTTTTTTTTTCCTAACTGCAGAAGCTGTCATACTATTAAAAAAGAATAAGCAGCAGCATTTATCTTTAAAATGACGTGCTGGATGCTGAGAGGGATGCCTGAGGTTCTTACAAACCTGAACTCTGATAAGTGCAAGGGAACTGAGTAATGAAAAGGTGGGGGGATGGATACTTCAACTACAATCTGAATTTCCCAATTTATTTAATCATTACAGGAGTTATTAGCCAAAATGCAAAATTAGGACAGGTCAAGCTTGGAAAAGTTAATTCAAGAAGCTTCAACTGTTGTGCAATAAGGACTCATTGCAGAAAGAAAGGCAGCTGCTCTGAGAATCAACTGAGGTTGGTTTCAATTACTTTATAGCACTTCTAGAACCTAGAGCGCCCCTCTGTGCTGGAACTTTGTAAATACAGCACAAATAATCTGGGTAAGTATGAATAAATAAATCTGGATTAGGACCAGCTCAAATCATCAAAATCAGATGGATTTTGGCAATAAATGACAAAAAAAATATTTGAATTACCCAAACTCCAAAGGTCGCGCTGCATGAGGGTCTTCTCTTGGTACCCTGTATGGAAACTCTTCCTAACCATCAAAAGCAAAAAGTAATGATTGTAATTCTGTGTATGGAATTTCACATTTAATCAATGATGAATTAATAAGGTTGATTTTCACCCTCCGTGCTGGTGGGATTGCTCTGCGTTCAGGAAAGTGATGGCCTTCAACTTGGTAGCCCCTCTGGTCTTCGTGGTAGCCTCTGGGGCCGCCTCCATTGGGGTAAAAACGGGGACCTCCTTCATAGCCACGCCCGTACTCATCCTCCGGCCTCCCAAATGGGCCTCTCCTCTCAACGCCTCCAGCTACTCGTGGATATGGACCCTACACAGAAGCATATTTTTTTCAATTGGAGGGAAAAATATAATTACCCTGTGGCATGCTTTTGGTTGCTGTGCAAAAGGGTATATGATTTGTGCTTTAAGATGATCTGAACAAAGTACACACTTACTGGTCTTTCTGGCAAGAAGCGCTCTTCATACGCCTCTCGCACACCTCGATCTCTTCTGTATGTCACTGTGATAATAAATATAAAAATATCTTTATAGATATACAGGTTGAGCTCACTACCTATTCTGTCACACACAGTAACTGGGAAATATTTTAACACACCTAAAACTTTACTTTCTGTGAAGTTACAACCATAAACGTAAGGCATTTTTTTATATGTGGTTTTCGCGTCCTATTTTTCAATTAGCATCTTTAAATGAAGGGGTTAATTTCTATGGAACATTAGTCACAACTAGGGCTGTAAATAATAATCGTTTGGTATCGATGCATCGATCCAACAGCCGACGATCCGATGCATCGACACGTCCGCAAGAGTATCGATTTGTGTTTTTTTGGTCTATTTTTATCCATTTGCTCCTGGACGTAATTCTGATTCCTGTGCTGTGGTGGCGCTAAATGTATTTTGCCCTCCTACCTCGCTTCCTTTAGCCACTACTCTCGTTCCGCTTTTAGTATTTTTTGATGCATGGCCTTTCAGAATCTATAACACAGAGGCATTATTAATTTTCAGTGAACAAGGTTTTCACAGGCCTAGGTGGATTACAACTTTGCTACTTCTGTTATTTGTTATTCTGTTGTTTCTCAAATAAAATGCATAACTATATTACAGCTTTCATTGATTTATATCAAATTTGAAACATTTTCTAGCCTGTAAGGTAAAAAAAAAAGAAGAAATTTACCAATTAATCCAATCGTATCGTGGTGTATTCTTGAGTATCGAAAATGATCGAATCGTTGGGTCAGGAAATTGATACTGAAGTGAATCGTCATGATGGGTGTGATTTACATCCCTAGTCAGAACTGTAGAATCCTATTTGGTTCAATTTCAGCTGCAAGTCTTTAATGGTACGGACCTTTATTAGTAAGCATCTATCCAACTTTGCAGGTCTTGACCTTGAAAATATAAGTTCAACATATGCAAATGTTTTGATTTCGCTGTGGTCTCAAAGCAGACTGTGTGTTTAGGGTTGGTATCCTGATAGAAAACATATCTTCACCTTAGTCCTGTGTTTAGCTTCATTCATTTTCCTTCTCAACTCTGACCAGCTTCCGTGTCTGCTGATGAAAGGCATTCCTACATTATGCTGCAATCAGCGTGTCTCGTCGTGGGGAAGACATGGTCAGTAACAGTTTTCTGCCACAAATGGTCAGATAAGACTAAATTTGGTCTAACCAGACAGGAAATTTTGTGAATATGTTGGATACATATTTCCTTTCATTTTAGAAAGGTACAACTAGAGCAATATATAGATTCATTACAGACTAAAATATGCAATGCTTTCACTCCCAAATCCGAAATAGTATTGGGAAGGTAGAATATTACATAAGATTTTAAAAAGTTTCTGTTTTGAACACAACTGTTAAGCTTCCGAAAAGGATGTTAATTTCTATGCACTCCATATTTGATTGAGGCTCCTTCTGCATGAATTACAGCATTGATCAAATGCAGTAATTTACAATAAGGATTTCAAAAATCATGTATGAGGTGAGGTCAGGCCAGTTTGATGGCCAGTGTTTGCAAATGTCAAATTTTGCAAGAAAATTAAATCAGGAACCATTTAGCAGAAGAAGTAATAACATGCTCTGAAGCACCCTGACAGATGTCTGTGTTGACTGTGGACTCCAGAAAAAGCAATGGAAAGAAAACTTCAGATGATTTGGCATCCTAAATCATCACTATGGACTAGTCTTGTAGTGATGTGATTTTCTCCACTCTTCTTTCATACTCTCTCTTTTCAAAATGAAAATGTAACTATTTCTATGTGAAAAGGGGACAGAATCACTGCGGAAGTCTAGTTTATTTCTCCTTAGCCAAAGTCAGATGATTCTGATGTCGGCTCTGGTTCAGGAGGTTCAAGATTGTGAATTTTTCCCAACAGAGGTTGCTTGACAAACCTCTCAAGGCCGCAGGTCTGTTGCACCTTTTCCTACCATTCTGTAAATATGCTATTAAACAGAACTCTGAATAACACCTCTATAGCAAAGATCTTCTGTGGCTTATCTGCAGTGTGGAGACTACTGCCCTGGAAGTTTGTAATGTTAAGCTTTTAGACAATATTTAAAAAATGTGTGTTATCTATAAGCCATAATGATCTATAACGTCAAAAGATAAAAATGTACTAATAGTTGTAAAGTCATGTGTAATAAGAGCAAATAAAATTGCAAAGCAGCATTCTTTACTGTGTTAATATTGCTCTCAATAACGCAGAGACTTAAATACAACCCAACTGTATTTGTCTGTACTATAAAGGCTTGGTTACTTACTTTTAAACTTTGTTGTTTTTTTTTTTTCGGGAAACAGCCTTCTTATTGATCTGTGAAGAGATTTTCAGTAGATTTAACAGCTTGTAATCATATCATTCAGGAACATTTCAATGAAGAACTAATCTCTGACATCTTAGCTCTTATAGCAATGAACTATAAGCACGTTAAATGTAAATGTATTCATGACAGCAGCTAGCTCCAGAATATAAAGCTAGTTTGGCTAACCCGTCAGTGCAGCAAACATTCACACGTTTGGACTGACGAAAGTCCAGGTTACCGCAAAAAAAAAAATTAAAAACAAATATAAACAGTGACGTCTGTTCCTGTAAAAAACAAATTTTATAAAAGGCAAATAATACATTTCTTTCAGTTTAAAATAACAACACAGTCTCACCTATTCTTGCCGTGGGACTAGCCTAGCTTTTCTCATTAGCAACACAGCAAAACCAATTTATCAACGCGGATACGTCATCAAGCTGCGACGCGCGTGCGCTGTTTTTGTTTCTGTTAGCATCGATATTTAGAAACATTCGCATTTTCCCTTTTTGACAATAAACTGCATTTTATCAGTGGTAGCAGTTTTGGTAAGTATGAAATTTAATTTATATTCCTACATGAAGTCATATGCTAACGTTTAACTGAAACGGAAATATGCTAATTTTTGTTTGTGTGCTACTTTTACATTTTGTGTTAACAGTTTGTCCACTATGAGTGGGGGTTTGGCACCAAGCAAAAGCACAGTTTATGTATCTAATTTGCCATTCTCTCTGACAAACAACGATCTACATAAGGTAATCTGAGTTTAAAAGGATGGATATTTGTTTGTGAATATGTTAGGATTTTTGTTTTGTATACTAACCTACATGTATGTCATTACAGTTGTTCACAAAGTATGGAAAAGTTGTCAAGTAAGTGATGCTTCTTTTCTTCTTTTTTATTTTATTTTTTTATCTGCTCATCACGTGTAATAAAATACTGCTTAATGGAAAATGTATTTTTACCACCAAATGTGGACTGAAAAATAAAAACAAAACAACCTTTATGATTAGGCATGCATTTGCACTGTATTTTACAAAATGCAACACCTAGAAAAAAAGCATAGTAAGGAAAGAAGAACTGTTAATTCATTTGATTAATGATATAAAAAGTGAGCTAAGCAGCTGAGGTTTGCAAAATCTTATCATTATAAACAGTTTTGCATAGATTTGATCAACAATACCAAGCGTTCTGCATTCTTGCACGCCTAAGCAAGTTGTTGATGATGCCTTCTGTCCTGTGCCACAAATTTATAATTCTATTATAAATTGAAAAAAAAAATCACAAAAATCAGAATAATTTTCAATTTCCTTATATGACAAAAAAATCAAATAAAAAAATCCCACCACTAGCTTTTTTCCAACCCTTTTTTTCAAACCATCTACATGTATCTCCTTTGTCTCCCTTTGGATTATAAATGTTAGTATGAGCTATTTTTTTTTTTGCAGGTTGGGAAAAAAATAAATATAAACAAAAAAAATAAAATAAAAATGTCCTTTATTGTCCCAAACTGGGGCAAATTTGGCTATACCATCAGAGAAATAAAATGAAAATGATCAGTAAATTTTTAATATTAATTTGACCTAAAAAACAAATGACAGATGCTCAGCTGGTTGAAATATCACTTGTCATTTACTTACAAGTTGCCCAACAAAGGTAGAGATGTACAAGTTCCCCAGGGGTAAGCATAGCTGGACTAAAAGATCCTCTCTGTTTTCCACTCTCTCTCTCCTGCAGATGTTTGTTTCAAAGTATCACAATATTTCCTTTGGAATGTACTAAAGTTAAGCCACTTAAAAAAGCATCAAAAGACTACTTACTATAAAGTGTAAAAGAGTACTAATTGAGTTTGTTGGGATGGTTGTAAAGTCTAGAAGCTATTAGGTGGAAAGAGCTGTGATGACTTTCCATTGAGCATTTAAAATGCAGCAGTCTGTCCGTGAAGGAGCTCTCCAGTTCTGTATTATCATAATGCGCAGAGCAAACATTAAAATATACTATTACGCATCACAATTTTACAGAAAATAATATGAAGGTATTTACATGCTTTGACATTTAAGCAGGGATAACACTGTAACTTCCTCTTTTTCAATAGCTACTATTTTCCCCAAGGAATCTCAAGTATGTTTCTTTATTTTATATATAAATCTAAGTCAGTTAAAATCAGATTTGTCAAAATCTGATCAAATAAACAAAAAAAAACTCATATCAACCTTGAAAAGCCTGATATTTTCAGTTGTGTACATCACTGCCAAGTAGTGGTATTCTTAAACTCCTCTAGACTTTTATTTGACCCTTAATGATTAGAACATCATTTGATGATCAGACTGACACCTCAATAGTTCAGAGGCGACGGATCTAAATGCCTTTAGCCTATTTTTTCAAATTACTAAATAAACGTCCCTAAATACTGTGACCAACTTTAGCAAGTACAGAAAAATATATTTAAAGAAATCAATAAAAATTTTCAGGTGAATTGTTAGCGGTGCACGTCATTTCACGTATTTGTTGTTTTTTCCAAAAGGGGGAATTTAATTTTAACAACAAAAGAAAGAAATTAAATAAAAGGATGAATTTTTCTCGTCTTTGCATATGTGCCAATAATGGTGGAGGGCACTGTACAAGAAGAACAGAAGAGTGCTGCAGTTCTGTGTTTTGGCCACAGGTTATGTCTATCTTTTTTTTTTTTGCCAGGAAAAACAAGGGGTGCAGCAATTCTGAAGTGCTGAAAGCGTATCCCAGTGGAACTTGTCAACTAGACTCTGTGCTTTTTTTAGCAAGTTGGCTTAAAATGGATGTTGAATATTTAGGGAAAATTATTCCATTCTGTCTCTTCATAATTTACGGCCCTTTTTGCCAGATTTTAGGAATTCAATGCAGGCTTCTAGCATATGGCTCCAATGCTTTATTTCCGGCATATGTTATGCACGTAAACATATTTGAGGATATCAGATTTAAATAAAACACTAAAAAAGTAGTTTCCTTTTGTGATTCCAAAAAAGTAAAAAAAAAAACAAAACAACAACACTGGACTTGTTTGGAGTTTGAAGACGTTTCGCTTCCCCTACAAGAAGATTTTCTTAATTTAAAATGTCTGGATTAGCGTTGAATTCCAAGCTTTATAGAGTAGCCCAACAAAGCCTTGTTATGGCTTAGAAAACATGCAAATTGAACCAAAAAAACAGGTCCATCCCTTAGTAATGGGGAGTTGTTGTTGGCCTGCAAAACCCAATACTGGCCTGTGCCTCTGAAAAGGGGAGTCATAAGGATCGTTGTTGGCCTGGCTGACCAGGAGAGATGTCTTGGTCTCCTGCATGGCGATGAGGATTATGATAGCGGAAAGGAATCAACCCTATCGCTGCGTTGTAGGTTGTTGAGTGCACCCCTTCTGTTTAAGGTTGTTTTTTTTCTCTTAACATAAATGGCTTCCTTCACTACCCTTTCAAACCAGCTTTCTTCTTTGTCCAAAATGTGACCATTCTGGTCCTCAAACAAATGTCCCTTGACCTTAAGGTGTAGGTGGAGAGCAGAATCTTGTCCGGAGGAGGTTGCTCTTCTGTGTTGATCCATGCATCTGTGGAGAGGTTGTTTGCTTTCTCTAATATAAAGATCAGAGCATTTCTCACTGCATTGAACTGCAACTCCGCTCATCTTAACTCTGGGGGGTTAGTCTTTAGGATACACTAGTCTCTGTTTAAGGGTCTCGTTTGGTTTGAAATGTACTGGAATTTTGTGTTTGGAGAAAATCCTCTTCAGTTTTTTAGAGACTTCAGCAACATATGGGATGGCAATGTTTTTGCGTTTAAACTTCTCACCGTTATGCTCTGCTGCGTGTCTTTTGGATTCCCTTGTTGATTTGACAAACGGCCAGTTTGGGTATCCACAGGTTTGAAGAGCGTCTTTGATGTGTTTCTGTGTTTGTGCTTCCCTTCTGTTTTAGCAGGGACATGCTCGGCCCGGTGTAGTAAGGTTCTGATGACAGAAAGTTTGTGTTCCAGTGGGTGTGTTATGTTATCTGATCCTTTTAGATGCAAAATAAGAGTTTTTTAAAAAGGTTTTTAGCCAAAAAAATATATATATAATTGACATTAATATAGCAAAACAAAAAGCTGAAAAACTACAATTGAAATGAGCTAAATTGATTTAAAACTTTGGTTCACAGCCTTTAAAAATTAACCATATAATTTCCTCATAATATCCATCCTTTTTATCCAGGGTTACAATAGTCAAGGATAAATTCACCCGACAGAGTAAAGGAGTGGCGTTTGTTCTCTTCTTAGACAGAGAATCTGCTCATAACTGTGCAAGAGCGGTAAACAACAAACAGGTGAGTAATACTGAATAACTCTAACTGCAGGCATATTTTAAAGTTTCTTTAAATCTTCACAGTCCAGGCCAAATGTCTTTATCCATCCAGTTATTTGGCAGAACAGTTAAAGCAAGCATTGCTATAGACAACGGACGAGCAACTGAATTCATTCGGAGGCGGAACTATACAGACAAGTCCAAATGTTATGAATGTGGGGTGAGTGCATGCTTAACGCTTAGAATGGGTCGTTTTTAAGGATGCCCTTTGTAAATGCAGTCCTTTATGATACAGGAAACGGGACATCTGAGCTATGCCTGCCCCAAAAACCTGCTTGGAGAGAGAGAACCACCACCGAAGAAAGAAAAAAAGAAGAAGAAAAGGCCTCAACAACCTGAACATGTGTAAATAATTTTTGCAGGGATTTGAAACGCCTCTATCTCTTTTTGCATCATTCGGTATATCCCACTTTATGCATTTTCTTTTAGTGAAGAAGATGAAGAAAGTGAAGAGGAGGGAGAAGACCCAGCCTTGGATAGCTTAAGCCAAGCCATAGCGTTTCAGGTAATTCACAGCATCATGTACAGTTTCAATTACATGGCTAATTGGTGGATTCAACAAAATGACTCAAAAGTGAAATGTCACAAAGATATTCAAATAAATCTTCTTTTGGGTCTCTTCAGCAAGCCCGTATTGAGGAAGAGGAGAAAAAGAAGAAAAGGCAAGCGGAAGAGGAGAACGCCCATGCCTCAACATCCTCAGACTCTAAGAAACCGAGGATCAAAAAGAGTGCTTACTTCAGTGACGAGGAGGAGCTCAGTGACTAACACACAGACAAAAAAAAAAAAAGATATTTATGTTTCTTCTATATCATTGTTTTTATTCCTAATAAACTTGCTTTGTTTACATGTTTGCATTGCACATCTGTGATGTGTGATGAATAGAGGTTTTAGTTCATAATCATGTGAAGATGGATGGATAATCCTGCCTTAAAAAAAAAAAAAAAAAACTACCCAAGTTGAAATAAATTCTCTCTTTGTTGGCTTTTTTCCGATTGGCATTTGTAAAGAAAGAACTTGATTTGGTTGGGTCACAGTGTTACGAGGTAATTGAGCACATTTAAGTGCAACTCAGTCAATTTGAATGCAAAAAACTAGAATGTAATTAAAATCGTTCCAGTAATTTTTGCAAAAATGTACCCAATAATTTAGAATATTGAAGTGTTCATTTATTCAAAAAACTTTAACTAATTGAAACACTTTATAGCTCAATTACACATGGAGTGATGTATAATACCACTTTACGTACAGCTAATATAAACACTGTATTTAAAATGAAAACATTACATGTGAACAATAAATACAGAAATCTGTTTAAAAGTATTAATAATAATAAAAAGATAACTTAAACTGACCAGCAAGCTGCACTAAAACACTTATCCGGAATTATTGAATTTGACTGTATATGCAAAATAATACATTTTAGATCCTTTTTCTGTTAACTGATGGTTATGGCTTATAACCAATAGGAAATTAAACAGAATGAGGTTCTCATGAAAAGGAACATTTGGGTATGACATGAAAACAGTTAAGATTATTATATTTAGGTCATGGCCTACCTAATCATCTGTAACGATGCTAATTTAACAAATGATCTACTAAAGGAAAATTCCGCAAAGCGCTCACTTTAAAGAGTGCTCTACCCATGCAAATTAATGTGATGTTTAGTGGAAAGACAAAACTGTGCATCGGAAACTGATAACCGAATATCTGAGATGATGGTGAAGCAAAGCTCATTCAACAGTGTGGTACTGCTGGAATCACAGCTTCAACAGCCCTGATTCAAGAGGTATCAAGGACAAGCTGCAGTGGTTTTATTTCTTGTTTTAAAGCCAATCCTGAACCAGAGGCATCTTATCTGGGCTAAGGAGAAAGGGGACTGAAATGTTGCTTTGTTTCCATTTTTGTTTTGTTTTTGTAATTTTTTTTTTACTAATTAAAGCAAATTTTGCATCTTAGATTGGAAATCAAGGTCCCGGACACTGTACCTCAGCCTTATCCAACCTTTTATTGCATTGATGCAATAAATGGTGATAAGGGTTATTAATGCAGTGATCAATTATGAGGCACAATTAAGGGGTAATGTGTCAAATTTTCTTAATCTAGTTCCTGTTAACTATAATCATCAAACACTGTATTTGAGATCAGAATATTTCACCAGAATATTGATAACACAGAAATACTGAAGGAAAAAAAATATATTAATATATATTATATACAATATGATTATACAGTAAAGTGATTATAACTTTTCGATTGTATGTAAATGAATAAATACTTAATACCTAATATATATGTATTTATATATATGTATTTCGTTAAATATAACATCTACGATATTCTGAGGAGTCCGTGAACGCAGCATGAGATCGAGAGGAATGTCAGCCTAAGGAAACATCCGGGCTCTGATTGGCCACCTTGAGTCACGTGCCGATTTCCCAAGCGGAGTTTCCACGACAGCTGGAAGCCGAGCGGGTAAAAAGGCGCATCGCTTCTTTCCCTGAAATAATCTGGAAAATAAAACGACTTGTGCTCGTCCCAGCTCCTCCAGATAAACCCTGGTCTGGCATGGGCGACAAGCGGAGCCCCACAAGGTAAGCAGCGCGTCCTAAAATAGGGAGGGGAGCGGACATAAGAGGCGAGAGCACACGGAGGAGGGGGAGGAAAAAAAAATGGGCTTTTCTCTTTCGGTCTCTCCCTCTCCTTCTCGTGTATGAGCGCGTGCCATGTAGCCGCGCGCGGGTGTTAAAAAAAAAAACCCCTCATCGGCAATTACAGTGTCAGAACACGGCGCGCGTGCGGATGGACGATGGTTTCCTCTATCCTTTAGGCTTTGAAAATAGGTTTGCTTCCTTCTCCCCCTTCCTTTTGCTGATAACTGCTGTCTTTTCTCTCCTTCATCTCCACATTTATTGTCTTTAAAGGCCGAAGCGTCAACCGAAGCCCTCCTCCGACGAGGGGTTTTGGGACTGCAGCGTATGCACCTACAAGAACACGGCAGAGGCTTTTAAGTGCATGATGTGTGATGTGAGGAAGGGGACGTCAACCAGGTAAGGTTGGATATAGCATTAGGTTTTATGTGTTTGGGCATTAGTGGGTCCCTAGGGATGGATGGATGGATGGATGGATAGATGCCTCCCCCTTCCATATAACAAAACGACACTTTGTCACGATCATCCTCTCTGTGTCTTAACATGAATAAAAGTATAATTTATTGAAGGTTAGTGACGCATTTTTAAGCTTTTCTTACTTTGCTTTATACAAGCATGGGTTAAGTAGTTGTCAAGAGTTTGCAGCCACGTGTTTTAATTTTTGTTTTGTTTGCAAAACAAAAATTCCAGCAGTGGCGGTTCTAGACCAAATGCACCAGGGGGCCAGGAGGGGGCCAGCGTGTTTTCTTGGTGCACAGAGAAGCATGAAATAGAAAAAAAACATTGCAAGGAATTCAAATATATTAATAAAGCTGCATGAAGTGACATTTCTATTCAATTAGGTTTAATAATGTAATTTCTAATGAGGTCAATATACATTCATAATTTAGGAATTGTACATATTTTTCACTTAATTTAAGTTAAAATTACCATTTTATATGAAATCTGAATTAGAAGTCAAGAAAAATTGATAAATTCAGCTGTAAACATTTTATTTGTTTTGAAAAAAAAAACCATTTAGCAGATGAAAACTGGGATCCTATCTCAATACCATTGAAGCTATCACCTTATTGTTTCTAAATAATTATAAAACATAATTTGTAAAGAAAAAATATGAAATCGATCCAAAGGACCTATTAGTAACCATGTGCCAGGACATGACTGGTCCCCTTTGGCCCCTGTCTAGAACCACCCATGGATTCCAGCTGTAGTTTTCTTATAGATTTATTTATGCCTGTTTTATTACACATACATAACACCTTATGAAAGCTTTTGTTCTTATTGCAGTTGAGGTGGGGTATGTATTTGTGTTCATTTTGCCAAATTTAGGGGGCAGTGGTGCCCTAGTGCTTGGGGCATAGGGCTTGGAAGCAGAGACTTCAGTTGCTTAGGGGCCCCTGAGCTCTTAGGGGCCCCATTACTGACAACTGGTTGGCCCCCTACGCATTTGTAGACTAGGACGTCTCTTTGCAGATTAAATGGTGGAAATAATTCCTCTTAAACCCACCTGATACTAGGATGACTGACCGGACTGACTTTATACCGCAACACATAACAGATTTCAACATGATGGTGAGCCGTTTAAACACGCCAAAAAATAGCTAAGCAGTGGTACTTTTAATTACTATGTTAATAACTGTGTATAGTTCATAAGACGTTTGGTAAAAAAATACACTCATATAATATGTTTCAAAACGCAATAAAGATCTTAAAAGAGCGATGTATTTGAGTATTTTATTTTTTACAATACGACTTGGAATTATGGGATAGGTTAAATGCAGGAGAGTTAATTTCATTGCTCACTACTTGTGAGAGTTTAATGACAGTAAAAAAAGTTATAGTTTTGTTAATAACCTCATATGTATGAAAACTACATTTAAAGCTTGCAGTTTAATTCAAAAGTATCCCTTTTTAGTGGGTTTTATTCCATAAAATTCAATCAGTTTTATTCAAAAATACTTTATTAATCCCAAAGGGAAATCGAATCAATAACATGTCCTGGCAGTTGGTATTGTTTTGATTGTACGGTTTAAAACTGAAAGAGAAGAGTGTTCAAAAAGTACAACATTGCTTCCCTTTTCTCAGAAAGATTGTGGACTTATTGCTTGCATAAATATAGTTAAAGCTGGCTAAATAAGGATATTTCTGTTTGAAGGAGATGATCAAAATTAAGTATCCTAATCAAGGTAGCTTTTACCTAATGGCTACTTGGTATATTTTGTAATAAAGAACGAAAAAAATTAAATATTGTTTGCAGGGATTTGAAAGTAACTAAATTCTGCACTTTGTCTTATTAATTTCTGATTAAGTAAGGAAACACAATGTTGAATAACATTCTTATAGTGTTTAAATATGTTCAAATCAAGAGAAAAACAGGCTTTTGTTGTATTTATCAGTGAAAAATATGTATTTTTTGTAGTTTAAAAGTGTAAAACTGGTGTTTTTACCTAAGGTTTTCATACAGGGAGAGTTTTATGCTGCACATCCTTAAAAAAGAAAAACAACTTGCTAGACAGTCAGCTGTTTGCAGTCTTTTCATCAATGCTAGATGATAAACAGTGTTCCAATTACTCATTTTTAAAGGTAGTAAATATTTGCTCCTTTGAGACAATTTTACTAAAACCTTAATCTACTTTGAAACTCACTCATTCCTACCTAGATCTAAATTATTAACATGTAATATAGACACCATAGATTGATAGATACCTGCACATTAACATAATTTAGGTGCACGGTTAATGCAGATATTTTTTATATAATTGGAAATGTGAAGCAGGAAATCGGAGTTGTTCCAAAAGCGGTAGCCTTTGAAAGAAAAAAAAAACAATAGAGAGGCATAAAGGGGAGGAAGTGCGGCACTGCTCTCCTGCTATGGGACACTGTTGTTCCATAAACACCCTCTTAAGTGAATTACTAATTCTCATCTGTATTAGCACCAATTTCTCAATGATTACTCATTCTAAAACAATGGATCAGTGATGGACTTTGTGGTATTTTTTATTTTTTGTGTTTGTTTTAATGATTCTGTTTATTTCTTTGTGTGTGTGAGTGGGAGGCTTTGTTGTAAAAAGAGCAGCTGCAAGACAGACAGCCATAGCTCATTACTATGCAACAGCTTAATCAGCCTGCTGTCGGAGGGACACACACATGCACACACTTGAGCCCAGATGCGCCCATCATGCAAATTTTCAACATGACTGCATGCATATTTTGTAGGATAATGTGTGTGTGTGTGTGTGTGTGTGTGTGTGTGTGTGTGTGTGTGTGTGTGGAGAGAGAGAGGACTAATGTTGAAATTGGTAGAAGCAGCAGACATGCTGCTGTCGCTGTGTAGAGGACACTTCATCGACTCATCCAAGTCGCTTTCAGTGCTGCCAAGAACTTGTCTCGATTCTCATGACAACAGAGGTTGTGACTTATTTTTTCTTTCCATCTTCATTTTTTTTTTCCTTGAGGAAGTTGGGAATGACACATCTAAAAATTCCCCAGAAACCCATGAAAGTTAAAAGCATGTTTTTAGGAAGGATTTGACATTGCTGCAAAGCAAAAACGTTGCTTTCCCCAACCGCAAAAGCAATTAAAGATCCCTTTATAATCCTTTAAAAATTTATGTTTAACTAAACATCTGGGAAAATTGTAACCTTATAGTTAAGGTTATTTTGTTTAGCAGAGGAAATATTAACTTTTTTATCATTTTTAGCAAAGTTAATGGTTGCACAATTAAGATTCTGGCTTTTAATGCTGACATTCCTCCGTCGATCATCCAGTCTCACTCTTAAGGTTTACTAGAATTAGGATTTAAGTCTGGAAACTGAGATTGCTGTGACTTAACTTGCAAGCAAGATATGTTTGCCTCTACAGAAATGTTTCTGTCCAATGAAATGTACATCAACGTGTCAACCAGGGGTGGAAGGCTAAAGTGAAACAAACATGTCTGCAGCAGTTTTAGCTGGGAACACCTATTTCTGCATCCTTTCTGCAAAAGGATGCAGTTTTTGCCCTGTTTGCATGGTAAGACGGTGGAGCTTTCCTTGGAGTTTGACTTATAAGTTAACTCCGCTAGTTGTGAAACAAATCAAGCAGCTACCGCTGCTGTGATTGGCTAAAAACTCAACATGGGAGGCAGAAACCACTGGATTTACCCAGAATTCCACTGAATGCTCTTCCCTTTTTTGTGAATAGTCTCTACAGCAGCCTTCTGTATCACTCTTCTTGTATCAATCTGGCTTTTGCCTGGTTAGACCATAACAGCAGGTTGCATTTCTAAGTAGAGATCTGTTTCTGTGTCAGTGTGTGTTTTGGCTCACTATATATAAATCTGGACACTTTAATGAGTCAATGTCATGCACTATAGCAAGGTCTAAATGCCTTTAGAAGTGATGCATGCCCACAGCATCACAAATCCACCACCCTAACATTGGACACCTTTCGTTTCCCCTAAACTCTTCTGGACTGTTTTTTGCCGTAACGTATAATTATGTCCCATTTGGGAAGGAATGATAGAAAAAGTTGTTTCCTAACATTCTCACAAAAGAGTAGACTGCATCTAATAGTCATTGGAGGGACTCCTTAACCCCGAGATGTCGGCCTAAGTTAAATAGGGTACCAATATTTCTGTAATAAGTGATTTTCTTTAAAGAAAAATGTATTTTTTGATACTATTTTCCAACTGAATTAATTAGGAGCAAGATTTAACTTAAATGTGCAGTACAATGTGTCTGCTTCTCCAATGAAATATACTTATTTTGCATTGGTCTTTAGTATTTGTGGGATTGAATACAAATGTTAGCTCAGCTCTAAAACTGAAGAAAGCTTAAAAGCAGATCCAAGGTAATCTTGTAAAGATAATGCTGGTTTGTATGTAATTCTTTTATCTGCATAGAAATTAACCATAGCTGATCTAAAATCTGGCTCAGTTTCATTTATGTAAATGGATCTAAAGATTAGACCTCAAGACTGACTCTACAGAATTATATCTTTGAAGATCTTTTTAAAAATGAAAACCCCTTTATTTTCTCCAAGTATCGTAGAAATACTGACAATAATGTGGCTGTCTTCCTAAAGGGGGGACTTCAGACCAAGCTGCACAGCTGGAAGAGACCAAAAGCGTCGAAATAATGGATTTCTTTATAAGTTTACTGGAGGCTGTACATGAATGTTAGGCAAGCAGATTTTTGTGCTGGGTGCAAAATAACTATCAATGCACCGTAGCTGAGGGCAATGGATTCCTGTCGGCACGGCCAGATGTCAGGAGAAGCATTCCACAGCAGCGGATGGGACTTTAAATCAGCTTATCATACACTAACAGCAAATGGTTGACATTCAAAATATCATGAAAAAGATTTGAAAGCATTTGCTTGTAGATTTTAGCCCAGACGTTGGGATATAAATGTTTAATG